AGCGTCCTAAAATCACGTCCTCAGAATCCATGCGGGGACGTGGGACACGTAAAAATATCTAAATTCGCGCTCCCGAAGAAACAAAACCGTGTAGAGGCCATAATGCCTCGTAGATTACACAATGCTCGCGTCCCCGAGGCCATGATCCCTCGTACATTGTATTGTGCTTGCGTCACCGGAGCCTCAAACCTCTGTCAATACACGCTGTATTCGCGTCCCCGAAGCTATACCCCTTCATAGATGAACAAGATGTGCGTCCCGAGGCGAGCAAACCCGCGCAAATTAAACAAACTCTGCGTCCCCGACACCCTGCGTCCCCCAGGCCCTGATCGCTCGCTAAATATATCAGGAATGCGCCCCCGAATCCATAGACCCAATGAAATGATGCATCTCCGTCCCCGAGGACATAATCCCTTTTAAATGAAAATAGACTCGCGTTCCCGAGGCCACACTCTGGGCATATTACGCTGTATCCGCGTCTCCGAAGCCATAATTCGCACATTGCTCAATCATTGCGTCCCCGAGGTCCTAATCCTTTGCGCGTTACATGTTGCCTGCGTCCCCGAAGCCATGAAGATTTGTGAATTACGCTGTAGTCGCGTCCTCGAGGCAGCGATCCCTCTTTTGAGGAAGTCCGTGATGAGAACTCACGTCGTAAGGACCCCCTGCGAGCGAAGGAAAGGGCCTGCCACCCGCCCCACCTGCTCGGGGATCTTCTGACCCGGGTCAATCCAGACCCGGGTCAGTCAAGCCTGCAGGATCCTGCAAGCTCCTGCAAGATCCTGCACCCAAACCCGGGTCAACGCGAAGGACACTGCAGGATCCTGCACCCAAACCCGGGTCAATGCGACCCTGGCCCTGCAGGATCCTGCAAGACCGGGCGCTCTGGCTGACCCCCGTTTGCATTGACCCCCATCTCAAGGCTCCCGACCTGCTCGTTTTCTCGAAAGTCCGGGAAATCTGGAGACGAATTCAAACAAGCGCCCTCGCGTGGAACATCCTCACAAGACCAGCCTCCCGTGCCTCCCCACGGAGGCCCCCTCACTCTTTCCGTTACCTGCTAGGCACGGGGACGGAAAGCGCGTGTACTTCGTGAGGGCGCGCGATCGCTGGCTTAAGGTCTTGGGGCCCTGCTGGTGTTAAGACTTCGGCGCGACAAAACAAAATAGCCCAAAACCGAAAGAAAATCAATGCTAATTGCATTTCTGAGCCTTCATGGGGGTCCTTTTGATGCTCTTGTGGGTAGTCTTGGGGCCCTCTTGGGCTGTCCCTGGGCCCGTTTGCGCCGTCTTGGGGCCCTCTTGGGCCCCTAAGGAATGGGACGATGTTTGCCTCTCGGGGATTCTCTTGAGGGCCTCTTGGAGCGTCTGGATGGTCGCTTTGGCCGTCTTGAGACCATCTTGGGCCGCCTTTGAGCGCTTGGGGTCCTTCTGGGCCTCCCTGGGCCGTCTTGGAGGTGTCTACAACCGTCTCCTCTGGCAGCTTTGTGCCAGAGCGGCGCAATTCGCCGACCCTGTCAGAGTGTGCGAGTCGCTTCACGCGCGCCAGCCAGAAGGAAATCAAGCAACGTCGTACATCAAGGGGCCCTGGGGGTGCGTCACCTCCCCCAGGCTGACATGGGGCTGACACGGGGCACCCGGGGCCGAACTTGGCCGAAAATTGGGGCGATTGGACCTGGGACGGGACCCGCCAACTCCCTCACACTCCCCATCAATATTTCTCCCAACCAACGGATCGCGACGCTGCGCGCGCCTGCCGTCATCCGCCGCCCCCTGTGATCTTGCCACAGGAATGCACGGCGTGCCAAACGTCTGGCAGGTCTTTGGTCTAAAGAGCTCCCCGTGGGACCTCGGCCAAGCCCGCCGCCCAAAAATCCAGAGCCCGTTGCCCAACTCGCCTCCAAGACGGCCAAGATGGCCCAAGACGGCCTCCAAGATGGTCCCAAGACGGCTCCAAGACGGCCACGAAGGCCCCGAGAGAGCCCAAGATGGAAAGATACCTCCAAGATGGCCCAAGATGCACTCAAGACGGTCAGAGCTGGCCTCACGAGAGCCCAAGACAGCCCAAGAAGCTCCAAAGAGGGGCCCCTGGGACGAACCAAGAGGACTCCAAGAGGCCTCCAAGAGGCCTCCAGAAAGGTCAGAATCATTGACTGTCCTTAGGTGCTCAAGGTGCTGGACGTTTGCTCCTTTTCTGCCTTTCGACGGCCCAAGACGGCCCAACAGACCTCCAAGACCGCCCTAAGATCGCCGCAGAGGCCTGCAAAATAGCCCCTATGACTGCCCAAGAAGCCCCCAAGAAGGCCCCAAGAGGGCCCCAAAAAGGCCCAAGAGGCCTCCAAGGAGTCCAAGATGGCCTTGAAGACAACCCAGAAGCGCCCCAAGAGAGTCTCAAGATGGCCCAGAGAGGCTCCCAAGACAGCTTCCGACAGCGTCGGACGGGCCAGGAACGCCGTAAGACGGCCAAGGAGGCCCCCAAGAAGCCCCCAAATGACCCCAAGAGGCCCGAGGAGGTCCCTAAGAGGCTTCCAAGAGGTCTCCAGGAAGCTCCTGGGATGCCCCAAGAATGACCCAAGAAGCTCCCAAGAGGTCTCATCATTCTTCTCCTCATTCTCCTGTATCCTCCATCTCCTCATCCTCCTCTTCCCCCCCACGTGTTCCCGGCTTCCAAAGGCTGAGTGAACGCATGGCCCAATAGACTGGACAGACTGTGCCCGAACGTTCGGCCACATAGGCGTATCCTAACAGGGAGCGGCGATTATTCGCCGTAGGCGTCTTCCATACTCGTATTACTATTATGATTATGCGTCTCCGCGCCCTTGATCAAGGGCCTGAGACATTCCAACTCGTGCCTCAGGCCTGCGGCACGAGTTGGAGTGCCTCAGGTCCATTGAAGTTCTTTGTCACCGGTCCTGAATGAATGAATCCGCCACCGTGTCTCTGGACACGGAGTGAGCTCTCACTACCCCTCGAAGCCTTAGTCCTCATTCCTGAGCAATGTGTAAAGGGTTCGTAGCCCCTCGGGCCGCCTCCAAGACGCTCAAGACTGCCTCCATGACGGCCTCGGAGCACCCCAAGACGGCCCCAAGTCGGCCCAGAGAGGCCCCTAAGCGTAAGATTGCAAAAGAGGCCCCAAGTCGGCCCCGGAGGCCCCAAAGAGGCCCAAGGAGGCCCCCAAGATGACGTCAAGAGGCTTCCATAAAGCTCCCATGATGCCCCAAGGGTGCCCCCGGAGACTCCCAAGATGCCTCCCCCTCCTCCTCCTCCTCCTCCTCCTTCTCCTCCTCCTCCTCATCTTCCTCCTCCTCTTCTTCCTCCTCCTCCTCCTCCTCCTCCTGATACTCCCCGCCATCCTCCCCCAAGTGTTCCCCCAACGGCTGGGGGAACACGTGGCCCGATAACTTGGCAGAGCTCTTGCAACAACGCTCGGCCACATGGGCGATTCCAAAAGGCAGGGGGCGGCGATGAGCCGTAGGCGTCTTCGATATGGAAGAGCGCAGACCCCAATTTCCCGAATTCGTCGGTGCATGTCGCGTGCCCGGAGATGCTCTCGCATGACTCTTTAGGAGCCAAGAGGGGCCCAAGACGGGCCAGGAGGCCCCAAGGGGCCTCAGAAATGGTCCAACACAACCCAGAGTCGCCGAAAGATCGCTCCAAGACGCCAAGCGTCCAAACGGCCCAACAGGCCCTCAAGACGCCCCAAGAGGCCCACAAGAAGCCCCCTAAGACGGGCCCCGAGAGGTCAAAATCGTTGATTGTGTTCGTTGCGGCTGAAGGAATTTAGCGTTCTCGCATTTTTTCGGGCTGTCGACGCTCCAAGAGGCCCAAAGATCGTCCCAAGACGGCCCAAGAGGCCAGCGAGATGACCCCCAGACGGCCCAAGAGGCCCCCTAGACGGCCCAAGAGGCCCCCCAAGACGGCCCAAGAGGGCCACAAGAGAGGCCACAAGAGTGGCCCAAGAGAGGCCCCAATGGGGGAGCACGAATCTATATGTCAAGCTCTCCGTCTCAAAACAACCTCCGTGACAGCCAGCAGGCCCCCAAGCAGCCCCCCAGAGGCTCCAGGAGGCCCCCAACATGCCCAAGTCAGGCCCCCACAAACTCTCTAGAGGCCCCCGAGAGGCTCCAAAAAACAGCCTCCAACAAGCTTTTGAGAGGCTTCCCAGGAGATCCGCGCAGGCATCCAGGAGGCATCTGACCAACAAGCAAGGCACGGTGGCGGAATGGAGCCGAAGCCCACTAGATTCTTATCATCGTTCTTACTCGAAAGTCGGGCTTGATAGGTCTGGGATGGTACCCAGACCTCCGATGCCCTTACTGTTTCCATGCTGAGCGCCCTGGAGTTTCCGATCCCTTGCTGGGCCACGGGGCCCGAAACATGCCTCCGAACGCTGAGATCGAGGAATAACGGCGGCATAAAAAAGCATCGCCATCCAATTCGCCCAGAATTGATCCCCAGACCCCTCGGGGGGTCCAACTTGGCCACTTCTCTGAGGGACGTCCGACCGTGGCGAAGAACCTCCAGAAGCGCCCCGAAACAACGACAACAGACAACGATGATGACGTCGGAGGTTTGGCAGGAGAAAGCCAAGTATACACCACGCCAATCCTGGCCAGCCCCATACTGGGCCAGGGATGAGTGTATACTGGAGAAACCCAAAAGTACCAATATCGCTACTCCCCCGATCTCCCGGGGTGCGTTCTGACCAGAATTCCGTGGCGAATCCAGCAGTGGCGACCAGGGCCTCCCAAGAAGCCCAAAATGGCAAAAACGAGCCGAGGGTAGCGGTATGGGCACCTTCTGCTCATCTGATATACGCCCCCCCCCCAGGCTTAGCCACGAAGGCACACACGCATACACACACACACACACTCACACACACACACACACACGCACACACACATACACACACGCACGCATACACCGATCCTGGGCCCACGATGGGCTTGCCCGGGACCGGTGTAGGTGCACTGTTGGTTGGCTCCCTCAAGAAAGCTGGTC